TTTGAAGAATATTTAGATCATGGAAATTAAGTATCAAAATATTAGATACCTTAACCTGAATAAATAGTAAATAAACATTTTCTAACAAAAAGTGCAAAGTAACAAGTAGAAAAAAAGAAAAATGCACAAAGAACTTGTATGGAGATTTTTCCCTGACCTTCTTTTCTCTGAGAAACACGATCACTGCTTGTCAGTCAGATGTCCGTCAGATCCCTAAACAAGGCCATATCTGCAGATGAAACTTTTTTTTGTAGAAGTATTTTTTAAATTGAACTAGCACCTCATGACAAGCACTACACCGCGTTATGCGCGAGAAGCTGCAAAAGACACAGGCGCAAGTGGAATGTACAAAACATGGTGACATTCATTTTTAAGTAAATATAATGGGCGATATATTGCGTCACCAAAAATGATTGTCATGTACATATATTGCGCGATAAGTCGATATATTGATTATTGCGACAGGCCTAATCACAACACCATCTTATATGCGTAAACTTACCTACTGCGTAAAAATAAAGCGTCGCACTCATGCTCGCTGCTTAAATGGGCGTGGGTGTGGGGAAGTTCTGCTTCTTCTTTTTATTGGCGATTGGTAAACCAACTTTTGGTGCATTACCGCCACCACCAGAAAGAAGAGAGAGAGAGAGAGAGAGAAAAAAAATTATATATATATATATAAAGAACAATGTAGTATAACTTCACAACCGTCTCTTTTTCATTACAGAATTTTCACAAAAATGCTACAGAACAGCTGCTGTTCACTAAGAAATTTGAAACAGTTGCAGTACCAGTGTATTTATTCTTTTTTATTGTCTATTGTCTGTGTTTTATTGTATTGTTTGCAAAAATGTTTACCTTGCTACGCTACATCTGAATGTTTTTTGCAGCATTTTCATTAAGACTTCTAATTCATTCTTTTTTTAAAGTATTACACGTGTTTTATAATATGCAAAATATATGGAAAAGTTCATTTATTTCAGTAATTCAACTCAAATTGTGAAACTCGTGTATTAAATAAATTCAATGCACACAGACTGAAGTAGTTTAAGTCTTTGGTTCTTTTAATTGTGATGATTTTGGCTCACATTTAACAAAATATATATATATATATACAGGGTGCGATTTGTGAAAAAAGCAGAGGGGGGATGATTTAGAAAACTTTTTTTTTTTTTTCCCCAGAGCAAGGCTTTAAAGTACAATGTTAGTGTAATCTATTAACAAAGCACATCATAAACCCGTTTTTTTAAACAAGTACCAGATAATGTGCATGTCACAAAATATTTTTAATACGACTGAAACTGTAGGCTATTTAATGTGATCACAATTTAATAAAAACATTAGGCCGATTAATTAATTTCAACGGTTATTCTAACAACGAATAAATTATATAATAAAGTGAGCAAAGAACATACATTTTACAGTATCAACGGAGCTTTTTGAAACTCTGAATCAGTTAAACCATTGCTCGCAAAATGATTCACTGTTTTGAATTGATCCAATCAGATCGCGTATTACGAATCATTTTATTCAGATCGGGACTTCGGCGCTGTTCGCAGGATGTTTTTTATCCCCACCGGAGATAAAAATAATTCAGCAAAGGCAGGGATGCATAGACCCTGTGTGTGTATATATATATATATATATATACAGTGGTGTGAAAAAGTGTTGGCCCCCTTCCTGATTTCTTATTTTTTTGCATGTTTGTCACACTTTAATGTTTCAGATCATCAAACAAATTTAAATATTAGTAAAAGATGACACAAGTGAACACAACATGCAGTTTATAAATTAAGGTTTTTATTATTAAGGGAAAACAAAATCCAAAACTACATGGCCCTGTGTGAAAAAGTGTTTGCCCCCTAAACTTAATAACTGGTTGGGCCACCCTTAGCAGCAACAACTGCAATCAAGCGTTTGCTATAACTTGCAATGAGTCTGTTACAGCGCTGTGGAGGAATTTTGGTCCACTCATCTATGCAGAATTGTTGTAATTCAGCCACATTGGAGGGTTTTCAAGCATGAACCGCCTTTTTAAGCATCTCAATAGGATTCAGGTCAGGACTTTGACTAGGCCACTCCAAAGTCTTCATTTTGTTTTAAAAACTGCATGTTGTGTTTACTTGTGTTACCTTTGACTAATATTTTAATTTGTTTGATGATCTGAAACATTAAAGTGTGACAAACATGCAAAAAAATAAAAAATCAGGAAGGGGCCAACACTTTTTCACACCACTGTGTATATATATATATATATATATATTTATACATTGTATTTTCGGCTTAAGGGCCCAAACGTGTCCAAATACTTTTTAGGGCTACTGTATTTATGAGCATAAAATTATAAATTATAAATCAATTGTTCCTTTCTCTTTGGAGTTTTACAAGCTCTTGGTGCATAAAGAAGATCTGTAAAGTTGCAAAGACTAAAGTCTCAAATCCAAAGAGATATTCTTTATAAAAGTCAAGTCAACCACGCCTACCTAAAACGGCTCGTTCTAACACGCCCCCACATGTCTATGTCACGATGTGGGAAGATTTGCATAAACTACTTTGTTTGGCCTTCCAAAAGAGGACGATATCCGCTTCTTCATGCCTGGAGCTGAGCTGACGAAGCGGAGTCCAGCCCAGGGTTGTCTCTAACTATGAGTCTTAGCTTAAAAGTGATTCAGGACCAATCTGAGAGCAACTCTGGGCGAGGAAAAGACAAAACCTTTTATCTTAGTGAGGAGGCGAGCATGACCCCGTCGCTAGCTATGACAAGGT